GTTTAAACTTTCCCAAATATTTACAAATATTGCAAGAATATATTTTGTGAATCTTTTAGGTTGTAATAAATTTACAGTAATTTTGTCAAATGTAATGACTGCAGATGGCAGCACGATGCTCTTGGATGTTAAGAGTAGAACCGGTAAATGGGAAAAATAGTGAATGCAAAGTCACATTTTAAACCAAGATAATTTTTATTTTACATTTTAATCTTTCCATGTCATTTTTGCTTCTGTTTTGCATTTATATCAAATTGTAAGGTATTTTATTAAAAAAAGAATGAGAGGGAATCCCCAATATCTTTATTTTTCCCAGAGTGCACCAATATTAATTTAATTCTGATTTAGGATATTTTCATGGTGTGGGGGAAAGAGAGGTTCTCCTTATAATTATGCAGATATCTAATATAGGCTGCTTAAGTTGATATATGATACTAGAGTAATAAAAATTTACACATTCCTTTCATTGATGTTACTTGTAATCTTTGTTTTGTTTAAAAGAAAATGGATGTGAATTGTGATTTGTGGCTTATATGCTAGCATCCTTAGTAAAATTAAGTACTGAACATTTTTGTTATATAATAGATGAATATTTCATATATAAATAAAATTACGAAAACTAGATAGTTGTCATTAAATGTAATATTCCCTCTTCACCAAACTCTTTGCTATCTCATACTGATTTCGTAATTAGCCAATGCGAGGGCAAACATTTTCTGTTGAGGATAATGTTATATGTGTATATATATATATATATATTATGTAAGCATAAGGGCAAATAAAAAAAATGTAGATGTACGACTGTAACTTTTAAATCGCGATATTGCGCAAAGGAAAATTTTTCCGTTGTTCAAACCATATGAAATTTAACAAAATACGAAAATTACTATGATATTAATAACTTCAATTTGATAAAATTAACAATGGCATGAAATAAGAAGTGCTTAAAAATATCAAAGTACAGTAAACCCAGTTGTATGGAGAGATTCTGTTGTTAAATGTTTTAAAGTGAATACTATCTATACTTTCAAGTTAAATACAATTTCACTTACTTTCCAGGACATATCGGCTCATTTCTGTGGCCCTCCCCAAAGATAAACACAGTTTGCCAATGCGGCCAACCGTAACGAAAAGGTTGCCGACCTCCTGTATTAATGAATTCATTAATTCCTTAGCGTTTTTAATTCTGATAAAGGAAGTGAACTGAATTTAACTATTACTGCACCCTACCTTACTCTTAGGCCAGGATTCGCCACGGATTGCACTCCTTAAAACTTCCCCTTTTATGGGTTCTAAAAATATACATCTTCGTCGAAAACACTACCAGTATTTTTTACAGTGCATTAACAGGTAGGCCAACGTAATGGGGCGATGTGATAAACGCGCTTAGACATAGCCAGGTTTAGTGATGCAGTGCCTCAATAGACGTTTAGGGCTGAATTGCTAGTAATTGTCTTGCTTTTGCAAAGTGGCGCTTGCATAGATTATGGCAGGGACTGGCGCAATTAGGCGCTTTATACGAAGTAATAAGAGCATAGAAAATACATTTCGAGAAATGAAAACAAATGCCTGGGTTTTATCCAGAGCTTGGCAGCATGCTTAAGATATTGGCCACTGTGACAATATTGGTACTGGCTGTGGAAGTACTGACCTACAGCTAAATCGTTTGGCGATTACGCCGTCAGACTAATGAAAAGGAAAGTTTTTGCTCAGGGAGTGCTGGTCCTAGAACCACAAGAAAATGTATTAATATCCCTGATGTTGTTAGTCAGTGGCAGGTTATGTCCAAGTGTTGTAGACTATTCGTAATGTCCTAAAAATTATATCGATTTTTACTGTTTCGTGAAGTGACCTTCAAAACAAGAACAAGTATAAGCATCCCTGATGTTAGTCAGTGGCAGGTTATGTTCAAGTGTTGTAGACTGTTCGTAATATCGTAAAAATTGTGTGGATTTTGAATGTGATCCATATTGTTTTCGTGAAGTGACCTTTAAATGATTTGAGCAGCATCGACAAATAAGTGTAAGTACTAACAATAATAATTTGGAAGCAAAGTTAGTTAGGTATTTTCCAGGTTACTCTCTTTGAATTTCAGCTTTTAATCAAGAATCAGACATTGACTAGTTTAGGAGAAGAAATTGGATCAATTGGGTTTAAAACTACCAAAAGGAATGAAGTGGGGACTGATTATTTAGTCTTGCCCCATTAGAAGCGAATGAAATAAGCTAAATATAGATTAACTTTTTGCTAAATGAAGACTAGGCCACAGAAGAATGCCAGAGTATGATGAAATATTATTTATTAATCAGCCATTCCGACTTGGAAATAAGCTAGAATTTTTAGAAATAATGTGGGTACCGTACCAAATAATTTTTCTGTTACATGAAGAAAGGAAGTTGTTTCTGCAATAATGCATTGATTAAAGCGTTATGTAGTGTAAGAATAATAAATAATCTGTAATGTCTTCTCTTCTGACCAGAATTTGCTTTGTGTGCTCGTTGATTGCGTAATATAACTTGCTGCAACAAATTGTTGCCTTTGAGGGATGTATGTTGTCCCAGTTATATCAAACTTCAATGACATGAGAAACATGAATCTGTACGTCACTCTGCACCGTTAGTCACACCATGTAGTTATCGTTGTAGTGGTAGGTGGCAGCACGCGTGTCGGGCCAGTGGAGAAACATTTTTTACACACATAACATGTCTAGTTTATCAGGATGGACAGTTTTGGGTTAGGGAGGGAAAAATAGGCAAGGTTTTGGAATCTCAAGTAATTATGCATCTTGGTAGTACAACCCTACTTAAAAAGAACATTTTTGCTATATTGACATCGCATGACTTTGTAGGCTACGTAGTTGGGCCAACTTGCAGTTTTCATTCATTATAAAATAAGATTAGCTTACTGGCTAAAAACAGTTCCCGAAGACTGAAGTGAGTTGTTGTATAGATAAATAACAATAATCCAGATTCGCCCATCTTCCAACTCTTATGCTTTTGTTTCACATTCTCCATAATTACGGTAGAGCATTTAGAATGCCACAAGTTTGGAGTCGGGAAGAGTATTTTATTCTACAGAACACGAGGTCGTCATTTCCACAGCTCGGAGGATGAACAGCATTTAATTTCGTGGTAACAAATGAAGCATAATGACAGCTTTGAAGCACTAGCGGTCATTTGTTTTTAGCTGTGCTTGCACCATAATGACCCAAGATAATGACGATCCAACATGTCCTCCCACTCTTAGTACCCGTGAAGTCACTCCCCTAGTATTACAAGCGGCCGCGTTTTTTAACGTCAAGGCATTTTTTTGGTAATGCGTTCTGTTGACTTCTGACCTCTGTCCATTATAAAGTGAAGGCCACAGTTTTAAATGCAGTTTCGTGACTAATGATAAACTGCGGTGAAAATATCTGTTCATATTTCATTCTCTTCTCCGCCCCTCTCTTTTCTTAACTCTGCAGGTTCTGGTGATCCATTTTGTGTTATTTTTCACCACCTTCTTTTTTGCATTACGAAGACTTCTAGCGTAACAAAATGTACAACATTTTTTGGACAATTACAAATTTCCTAATCTTACTTTGGTTGGAGAATAGTAACACTGACGCTAGTTTATAACACTGAAAGGGGGATTAGTCCAAGTACGCAGGTGACATTTGAAGCTCCAGATTGGTTGCAGGATTGGGCATAAGAAAGGGGTCACACTTCAAATAATCTAATAGTAATAACAGTGATGTCTCTTATCCGATGATGCGACTCTTTCTATGGGTTTGTATCGACCGGAGATGAACACTCTATTCCATTGAAATTGATAATGTTTCATTTTCTCGTTCCTATGTTCCATCATATTTGAGTGGTTCGTTTCAATCCACTCATCTGTACTGTGTATTCGAGACTGAACATACAAAACATTATTTAAAATCCGAACTTAAAAACTGTTCCTCGAAGCAAACGTAACAATTTTTATAGTGTCACATCCTCACTAAGCACCACTAGAACCTATTTATAAAAGCGGGGTGCAAAACGTAAAACTGAAGTCGCTATGGTAGGACAGACAATTCTTGAAGCATTTACGTGTAAGGGGTTCGGCGGGTAAGAATATACAAAAATTATGGCCGTTATGATATTTCTCCTTAGAGTGACTTCTGAGATTGAAAATCTTTTCGCCTGACGAGACCGAGGAAAGCCACTAAGGTTATCGGTCAATATAGACGATGGTAACCAGGCCAAGATTCGAACCGGCTAATTCTCGAACGTACGTCTGGAGAGTTAGGCGCTGGTACATCAAACTGTTCGGTGTAGACACTAAATTAATTTTTAAACACAGACAAAAGAATCAGCAGCGGTTAGCTCTTGTTTAAAACGTCTGGAACTGTCTCATGCTGAGTCAGTGTGCTTCCTTCCCAAAGAGTATAAATACCATAACTAATTACCTCCATAAAAAGGTTAGCTTGTTACTGATAACACGAGGTAGTGTAACAACCTGCTCCTCTGTTCACCCAATCAAGTTTCTTCATCCCCACCCACTGCCAGATCTATATAAGGGCTTTATAACCCCTTCCTCGCCCAAAGACATTTACCCTGAAGATGGTAACTGTAGTGTTTGCCGAAACTTTGTTTAACCATCAACGCTCCAGAAAGCCGAACTTCCAACCACGAAAACGCAAGGACAAGAGATTATGGCTTAGTATATTTGGACGGAGGCAAACAAGGTTGCTTGAATAGAATCTCATGTTCAGAGGAAGTTAGTAGATATTAACTGCAATATATTGAAATGTTTCTGCCGCAATAAACAAACACATAATGTAACAAACTGGTATGACTGTGAATCTTGGAATGAAGTCCTTGCTGGAATCTTGCAATTGAAGTAGGCATTGTGAACTAGTTATACGTATATGTCATATATTCTTTATACCAAACACATAACGGTCTTCGAGCGAGGGAGTCAAAGAATTCTCTTTCTATCTCAGTTAAACGTCAGACACGAAAATCAACCACAAAGGTGGTGAATTTGAAATGACTCCCGGGGATATGTGGCCATGCTATGCAGTATACAGGAGACTTTATACGTTCCACTTGCCAAAATTTGCATGCCTTTGAACAGACTTGCTACAAGGCGGAATCGCTTTCATTTGTGCCGTCTAACACCGCCTAGGGATTACTGTCTGTTCTACGAGCAGTCAATCTGGGGTTCACGACGAGGTCTTTAGTAAACGACTTGCCTAGTAGAATATGAAGTGGAAGATGTGAATAATGAGACAAATAAAGTTACACTACAAAATCAGGAACTACGCAGGGCTACTAATTACTAAGGCCTGGACAACCTTTATAACATTAGACGGTTACAATATGAGGCCATAACGAGTCATTTGTTGGCCTAACTTTGTGGCCTGAAGAAGAAGATATACTAATTGCAAAAGGTTTGTGACTTAAATATTGGCATGCAGAAAATCTTATGCTTTCAGTGATAACTGTTCGCCACATGTGGCCACTTGGACGGTTTTGATATAAATTAATTACAGAATTTGAAGGCGATAAAATTTGTAAATGCAATATTTTCAACCATGCAATATATTTATTCGTAACAGTGGCTGTTATTTTCAGTTAACTTTGAGGTATTTTTGTGCAATTATTCAACTCTCCGTATTTATTATTATGACGTTAAATTTGTAGGAGAGAATATAATCAATAGCATAAAGATGAACGCAGAAGTTCTACATGCCAGCAGAAAATGTGTTATAGAAGTATATTCAGATAAAATTGACTGTAAGTAAGTAGGCTTATATGAGTATGAGACACAACCTGTTTCAGGAAGTCACAATATAACAACAAAATTACGTTGCGGTAGTTTTAAAGTATGCGTTTATTGTTCTGTTTCTATTAAATGTATTTACAAGCACATAAATTAAATGGCCTGTCGAACTTATAGTGTGGAAGTACCGTTTGTTGTAAAGATAGAATTATCTAGTACTTTACGGATCCAAAGTTTTGGTAATATGTTACCTGTGTCTTCATGTTGAAAACGATAGAATTATCTAGTACTTTACGGATCATGTCTTGATTCCAAAGTTTTGGTAATATGTTAGCTGTGTCTGCATGTTGAAAATGCGGGTTTTGATTTTGATTCTCGTTATGGAGGGTTCCCAGTTCGGTGAGCTGGGATGTTTGACACCGTATAATTTAAAATTAAGGGGCGACACCACTTTTTCCCTACCCTCGTTGAAGGAAGCAAACGAGACGGCTCGCCAGATGGGCTGACGAGAGTCAATCATCTGCTCACGAAAAGTGTTGTTCCGCTCTTCTGCTTTGCAAATGTCCCGGGTTCAATAGAAAATTACCCCCTTCATGTTTTATAACGTTTGTTGTCTTATGTAAGGAGGTTCTCGTTAGACCGTCTTACTTGTTCAGATTTGTGAGGAAAGTTGTCTACATAGTATTCTTGTCTTAAGAGAAATAAAGGTCGTGTCTTGTTGACGAATGGCGATTTGGAAACCGAAAGGAATGACTGCGAGAATTTACTAAGAATTGTTAAATATGTACAGAAGCAGAAGTTTCATATCTGTTATGATATATGCTGAAGTTACACTACAAATCTTAGATAAAGTACTTTTTAGTGGACAGTGTACACAGAGAAATTACATTCAAACAAGTGCCAACCTTAAGTTTGTTAAGAGAATACAAAATTATTAATAAACAGCGCTTTGAAACTAAATATTATAGTTGGTCTGCAATTGAAACAATAAAATCTGAATTTTTTTATGCAACATGTCGCACCCCTAGAAGAATATTGTCACAACTCAAAAGATGTTCATTTTGCAATAGCTTCCTCACAATTCAAGAAATTGAATTAAAATTGGTTTTTTACTCTCTCCCGAAAATTTGTATTTTTTGAATTGTGACAGCTAGCGGTCAAGCACATATTTCTGAAGCCTACCTTTTGTTCTGTTATGTAAGTGTGAATGGCAGATAGGATTGGGCAGAGAATATAAACGTTACAATAAGAAGGGGTTTTAAGTTATAGGT